CAGAGGGGACAAACTGACAGGCAGCACGAGATTGGAAGGATATCTGGAAGATGTCTTGTCAAATACACCTCTCCCCACACGAATGCCCACCCCAGTGGAGTCAGTTTTGTGGGTAGTTAAAACACAAATAACAAAAGACAATTTCACTAGATAAGAATAGATTTAAGTCATTCTAAACAAAATTGTTTTGAATTTTTGTATAAGCTTTTTAAAATGTTGTTTTTAATTAATGCCATTGTGTTTGCAGCCCCGAGTCAGATTTCCTAGCCCACGTCCTCAGTGGTCTTTACAGGTGACACTGCCCCCAGTTCTCCCTGCACCAAGGTCTTCTCCCCTGACCTGCAGACTCAGGGGTCCAGCTGCCTCCTGCATCTATCACTGGGATGTCTCTCAGGCACCTCCCTCCACAGAGTGAGCTGTGAACCTTCTGCTCCCTCCTGCTGACACCCCCCCAGGCTGCTCCTCTTACACCCCCTACCAGTCTCCCGGAACAGCAGCACCATCGCTCCTCCCCCCTCCTGCCCGCACCCTCTCTGACTCACACCACAGTGAGTCCCGCTAAATCCTGCTGACTTGACTTCCTAAGGAGTTCTCAAAGCTGCCCACGGCTTCGTCTCTGTTGCTGATATCCTGGTTCAGGGCACTGTCATCACTCATCTGTAATACTGCAAACTGCCTCCCAGCTGGCCTCGCAGGCCTTTGCCCCCTTCACGTTAGACACTCGACAGAATTGAACTTTGAGAAAGGTAACTCCGAACCATCACTTCCCTGTTGAAAACTAATTTTTCACTATTGCCCTTAAGATAAAGTTCAAAATCCTTACTCTGATTGTATAAGCAGCCCTCCAGGGAGACCAGCTTGTCCAGACCAGCCAGGGACTTCCCTGAGTGTAGCACTGGATGGCCTGGGTCCTCCTCAGTGCCTGGCACACGCAGCGGGGTCATCACTCTGCTCTGCTGCCCATCCCCGCCCGCCCCCCCCCCCGCCAGCCCTCCTGCCCACCGCTGCTATTTCCCCTCTCCTGAATTTCTTTCCTTTAATGCTGTCTGTCACCCTGGGGCCTTGGCACTTTCAGTCCTGTTGCCTCCTACTGAGAAATTTCTGCCTTTCTCTTTGCCTTTTTAGCTTTCACCCGCGCCCCCAGATTGGTGGAAAGGTGTGGCTGGCCAGAGGACTCACCCCTGCCGTGTGGCGCTTTCTAATCCCCCCTGTGAGATATTAGCAGGTTATTTCAGTCAGGGGATTATTTGGATCCTCCCTCCAAGTCTGAAGTGCAGCAGGTAGGGGCTCTCTCGTCTTCGCCCCCTGTTGTCACGCCACATCTGGCACAATGCCTGCCACAGGTATCAGTGGTGGTTTTTAGACTGTGACTCGTTCAGGCATAGCCTAAACCCAGCATATGTGTATATGTGTTATTTTGGCTCTTAAACAGGCAGCCTCGGAAAGAGAAAACAACTAACTTATAAATACATGAGAAAAATGTCTGCTAGCACTCACAATTAATATATGCAAAGTAAAATAATAGTAAGATTCATTTTTTACCTACTGGATTTGTAAAGATCGCAGAGTGGTGGGAAGGTGTGGTCGTCAGCAGGGTGTAGGAGTGTAAACTTGCAAGAATTCTTCAAGAGCAACTGAGCGATCTCTACCAAAATTTCACCTGGACATATTTTTGACAACTTCACTCCTAGAAATGTGTTCTTCAACTATTCTTACACATATGCATGTAAAAGGTCATACAAGAACATCCAACAGGTCATTGTAACCAATGAGGAAAAAATGGAGAAAAAACACTACCTCTTCATTGAAAAGAGACTTACTAAATACGTTATGAAAGCCCTTCCCATAAAGATTATGAAGAATTTTTTTTAAATGAGGTAGATTTACATATGTCCATTTGAAGCAATCTTTGAAGCAAAAGATTTTAAAAAGGTACACAATGTGTATATTTTAAATTGTGATTTTAAAAGAAAATATACATATGCATAAAATATTCCTGCAAAAACATGCAAGAAACTCCTAACAATAATTACCCCTGGGGACAAGACTGAGATCTGGGACAGGCACTCATTCATTGTAGTTTCTGTTTCAAGTGTTTAAATATTTTAGTGTGATCATGAATTAGCTTTGCAATTATTATCAAAAAAACCTCTTCTTTTTTTTTTACAAGGAAGAAGCCCATGAATTTTTATCTCCTTTAGATTCAAGTAATTTCCTCCCTCACTCCCTTCCTCCCTTCTTTCCTTCCCCCTTCTTTTCTTCTGTCCCCTTCTCCATTCTAAGAATATTATCTTTCCAGAATCTTTTAAGAATATTGAAGATAAAATGCCCGGAGCCTGCGTCTGATGGGGTGAGCCCGCACTGCCGGCTGTCCGTGCGGCTTCTCTGACGAGGCGAATGCGGCACCTCCCATGCCCGCTTCTCACCCTGTCAGACCGCCTCTCCTGAGCTTGCACTGCAACTGCTCCCAGCACCTCCCTTTTCCTCCTTTCTGCCCCCGGGGCCACTGCCACAGCCATGTGGAGTGCTTGAAGAAACTGTGTTGTCGCCCCGACACTTGTGGAGACCTGGAGGTAGGATGGGCCTGATCAGCCGTCGGATGACTTGTGGGAGCCGGTGGTGGATGAGGACTCTCCACACCACTCAGGAGGGGCCCTCGGTCTCAAGCACCGATTTGGCACTGGACTGATCAAGTCCATCATTGACCTTGGATTGTCTCTCCTTCTTCCCTGTTCACTCTCCCCAGCATCTCCCTCCCATCTCGTGGGACCACTTCTGAAAGTAAACCACTAGCTTTTGCTGTGGACCTGCTGCTGGTAGGAACCCAGTCTGGGATGCCATCCCCCCAGTCACCGTGTGCTCTGGCCTCTTTGGACGCCCCAGGGTCAAGATAAAATGACTGTCCCTGTGGAACTCCTCTCTCTTAGTCTTCCTGAGGTGTGGCTTTATCCTCTAGGTTCTCATGCTGGTCTTCCCTGACCCCCAGCCCTCTGTTAGTGTGAGGATGGCATTTGTGAACCTAGCTATTCGTCTTTAACATTGTCCCCAAGTCAGACAGAAACAAACGTTACAGATTTTCCAGGTAGGAGAATCTGTTCTGCAAAGGAACTATACTCTTCATGTGGGGACTATCTTGCCTCCATTTCAGATCCCTGAACTCTGATTTGGTGATTCGAGAATCCCGAGAACCTCTGGGTCTAACCCTGACTGCCCAGATTCACTGCAGGGTGAAGGGCATACGTGGTTTGCTCATTTGGAGACCAAGGCTTCGTGCACAGACGGTGCTGGACCAACCTGCCGAGCCCTGGCGCAGGGTCACTATTGATCCATCACCCTCTGGTCTGACCTTTGTAGGAAGTCTGGTCAGACTTCCTACAAAGAGCTGCTGATGCCTTTCCAGCAGGCCTGGAAAAGTTGTGTGGTGGTCTCCCATTCCTCCGACCTGCCCTTTCCTTCCTTCTCTGGGTTGAGCTTTCAAAACAAACCATCTCTGCTGGCTGTGGTAAATTTCAGAGAGGGAAATTTCCAGTTGGGAATGGTACGAAAACCTACCAGAGGAACACTATATATAGCCTGTCTTTAATGGCCATAATAACGTAATTGCCTTTTCACTGCTGTCTGCCATCAAGCAATAAATAACATTTTCATTTGAAAATCAAACCAGAATAGGTTGCACAGTCTGCCAAGATTCAATAAGGTATGTGTAAATATGCAACACAGCTGTATTATTTACAGACTTGACTGTAATTTTCTTTAGGAGAATAGGTTCATTTGGGTGCTCTGCAGACCTGAGTCAACTTAATCTGACAAAATCCAAATCTGCCATAGAAATCTAGAAGTCTAGAGCTAGAGAGGCCTGCAGGAGTCGCAGCAGGGAACGCCCATCTTTCCCCCAAGGTCATGTGATGACAAGATGGGAACATGCTGGGAGGGAGAGGAGATCCATTCCAACTGACCTCCTAGAGAAAGGCCTTGATTCTTAGATCCAATGAAAGGTGCCCTCACATCTTGTTACCGCCTATAGCCAAGATCTGGAGTTGTAAATCCCCATTGTTCAACCGAGAAAATAGGTTCGGAGAATGAAGTGACTTGTTCCAAGTTGCACAGCTAACCTGTGACAGGCAGTAAATTGGAACCTGATTCCAGCTTAAGGCCAGTATTTTTCTATTTATTCCGACATCACAGTTGTTCCTGGTTTCTGGACTCTTGGGTAAACTTTGATCGATATCTCCATAGCAACAGTCCTGCTCCTCCCACCCCACGCCCAGTCCTCAACACCTCACTCTGATCCCCCCTTTCTCCCAGGCCCAAGGCTTGCTCCTCCTGTGGATGGCATGAGTCTCTCTAAGCCGACCATCACACGTGCCTTCTGGACGTACTTCTTGCTTCTTACTTCAAGCCCGTTCTCAGTGGTTTTCTTCACTTTCTCCCAGAGTGGCCCTTTCAAAATAGAGCTATTTACAATTTCCTACTTTCAAAAGAAGAATTAAAAACAAAAACCACATTTTAGGTTCCCTCCTCTTCCATTACTTTCATGCCCAAATCCAAAGCCTTTGGCCTTGGCATCGGAGACTCTCTGCAATAGGGCCCCTGCTGCGTCCACCACGCCCCATCGCTGTGCTGCCTGTACTCCCAAGGCGGCACTGGTCTTGCGGCATGGTGATTACAGGAGCACAAGACATTGAATTCGTTTTTGTGTCCGACAGAACATCTGTCACAGGGTCTAGACATAGTAGCTGCTCAATGACGGTGTTGAAGGGAACAGACTCTTCCTGCTCTCTGCAGCGTGTGCGTGCAGCACGTAAGACTGCACCACTCCCTGTGGGGTGGGGCAGTTCTGGGACCGCCACCCTTCACAGTAGACGCTCTCACACAAAGGGGTGAGATCAGCCCCTGTGCAGAGTATCCCGAGACTGGCTGACCTAAGTAAGACTTATGAACACGTTACTGATACAATTAAGTTTTCCTTAAATCAGCACAATGAGATGCCTGCTGTTTTCTACAAACTTTATTGAACGGTGTTGATGTCTTTACCGACCCCCCAAACTGAACTGCTCAAGACTGGGTGAAGAGGAGTGTTGTCTGAAATCTCCACAGACACGGCAGCACCCTGTTCCAGTGCCTTGTGCTGGGGTCCCAAGACGCCTTATGGGGAGCTTCCAGTCCCGTGGTGGTGGAGGAGGTGTTGTGTGCAGCGTAACAACCCTGCAGGGAAGTACTGGCGGTACGGCAAACTAGAGCATGAATACAGACATTGTGTGGTGCGTTGGGGTGGCAGGGATTAAGGGAGAGAATTTACAGAAAATGTCTGCACTGTGCCTGGCACGTGGCAGATGCTCAGTAAATGGTAACAGGTCCTGTCCTCACTGCCCCACATTCGGGTGGGTGCATCGAGGACCACGGCCCCTTGGCCTGCATCTGAGCGCCATGCTTCCTCCCACCCGCTCCATCTGCTCCGGCCTGATTTTGCGAACAATGAGCTACACCAAATTCTTTTCCTCCCTGGAAACAAAAAGCTGTTCCTTATGCCGGGAACCTTCTGTTCCCAGCTCCTGGCAAAGTGGCCTCCATCCAGTCCCTCTGGCCTCAGGGTAAATGCCACCTCCCTAGAAAGGCCTTTCCTGACACCCCCATCACCCCCAGAGTTATTGTCTACCACATCACACTGCTGTTTCTTTCTTCGCAATTACCGGAAGCTGTAACAATTTGGTTCATTTGTTTGCTTCGTTTATTGTCCCACTGGACTTCAAGCTCCAGACAAAGACGAGTCACCCCTGTGTTGTCCACTGCGGCACCCCAGCACCTGCAATGTGCATGTGGTAGGATCAGCCTGCCGCCGCTCTCCCTCTGTCTGGGACAGCTGGCGAGGGCTCGCACAGAGGGGTGCGTTTGACTGGGGCCTCGAAGGGGGAACGAGAGTTTACGCACCGGGGGTCTGGAAGATGAGGTGCACCGGGCCTGCTTTTCAGTGGGAAGTTCTGAGAAGAGAGGCCTTCTTGTGGTGAGCGGTTCTGTCCAAGAGAGGGCGGGCTCCGAGTCAGAAGTGGGTGTTCAAACAGAAATACCCCAAGGGTGGGAGGGAAGGGTGGTGGGCACCTCATCTCGCTATCAGAGGCTTAGGGCTCAGACCCCCACCTGCTTACCTGGGCGCTCCTACCAGCCTTCTGAGTCAGAATGTGTTTTTATCAAGGTAACCTGCCCACCAGGCAGGGGGAGACCTTGTCAGGTGGCCAAGCCCCGTTTTCAGCCAATAATAATGAGAAGTATTATCATTTATTGAGCTTGTGCTGAGTGTCATCCATTGTATTGGGCATTTTATATTTGTTTAAGCCACAGTTCCTGTGCAAGGTTGGCATTATTTCCCCTTATTCTGAGGCTATAACAGGGGGAGTGACATGTCCAAATTCTTGGAGTTATGACATGGTGGATGGAGTTTCAGACCCACCTACATCCGACTTCGGAACCAGTGCTCTAAACCACAACCTCCTCTGGCCGGTGCACCTCACAGGTGAATCAATTACTTAGGTTTGGCAGAGACCCATGGGGGTGAATCATCCTAAATCTCGCTGTCTGAACCTGTTCCTCTCTGGGAAGCTGATATAAACTTAATCCTTCAACTGACAACTGAGGGCGAGGCTCTGGATTTTGGTAATCCCAGATAGGGCCACTTCTCCCCAGGCAGGACCCCGGGGTAACATGAGGTTGAGTGATTGCAGAAACTGTGCCTGGTTCTGCCACGGAGTGGGGTGGCTAAGAGCCTGGGTGGAGAGGCAGACAGACTGGTTTGAAATCCAGCTCCTGCACTGAGTAGCTGTGTGACCCTGGCCCGGGCAAGTTCTTTACCACTTTACACTTCAACTCTTACCTATAAAATGAAGAAGAGAGACATCTCTGGGTTTCTCATCTACACTATGAGGATGACATGAGAAAACATATACAAAGTGCTGTGCACATATGCTGGGCACATAGCAAGTCCTTGGCGATTGGTGGGCTTTATCATCATTGTTGCTAATAGTCTTAAGGGCAGGCACGCATAGTAGAGTAGGTTGGAATCTTGGCGCCCTGTGATTTTGGGAAGTTACTGGACTTCTAAACTCCTTATCTTTAAACTGGATAATTTAGGAAGTTTTGGGAGGGCATGGGTGTGGGGAGTTCAATACTGTCATCTTTAAATTAAAATTAGCTTCTGTTAAGGAACAGAGAAATGCCAGAGGTAGGAAATGATTCTTACCGTGAATGAACGGCATCTGCCTTAAGCCCCGGTCCATCACGAGGAGGCCAGGGGTTTCTACACTGTCTGAATCTCATCAGGGTGTCCAGGATATGGCTGTATCAGCTGGTCCGAAGCGTTCAGCCAGTCTGCCGTTTTGGTTTAGGCCAAAAGAAGATTGTTATGAACAAGGAATGTGTGGTGAGTATGGCCTCCTTGGAAGTAGGGAAAGTAAAGGCCATGGAGAAAGGTCATGTCTCTGCATGCTGCCCTGGGCCGGCCAGCCTCAGAGTTTAGCTGTGCAGCCTGTGGCTGGCCACCCGCCGTGGGAAGGAGGGCCACAGGTGAACAGAGCATCCTGGCTTGGGCGCTAAACCTCTGATGCTGCTTCCCTACCCTGCACTGCTCACCTTCTCACAGTGCGAACGAACAGTCTCAAATCGTCGGCACCCCAGTCTCATCTCAGACTCAGTGTAAGCTGACGTGAGTTAGAGTTCCAGGACCCCCTGACCCCCTCTGAGGGCACCACCAAACCGAGTCTGTGGGCCTGCTGCACTGAAATGTGCACTGGATCCTGGATCCATCCATCCATCCTGTAACCCAGGGCCCCACCAAGTCACCCGCAGCACTCTGAGGCCCTGACAGAGCTGGTAACTGACTGTCCCAGAGGCCACTGGTCTCCCAGACCCATATTTATCTGTTATGACACCTTTCTCAGGGTTAAAGGATTAAATGTTTGTGCTTGGCACACACTAGGTGTTAACAATGCCGATTCTTTCCCCATCTTATGTAAACCCTATGACCTGCCTAGGCCAAGAGATTGCGATCACTTTAAGGCCTGGAACCCTGCCTCCTGTTGCTCTGGTTTCTTCTCCTCACTCCCCAGTAAGTCCCTAGACTTGGCCTTGTCCTCCATGGTTATCGTGTCCATGCTGTGGGTTCTTACCACCCTGACCTCTGTCCATGTGCCAGTCATGCCCTCCTGGTGTTCCCTGAGCCGTACAACAGCAGCTACACAGTGGAGCACCCCAGGCTGGGCAGCATGGCACCCAGATTCTAAAGCTGTCACCTACTCCCTGTGGGACCTAGGTCTAGCCATTCCTACCTCCGGGCCCTCATTTCCCAATTTGTGAAATGGAGACACTGGGCTAGCTCCCCACATGCTATAGTATTTATACGAGTGAATTATTCCTTCCTTCCACCCACCCATCCATCCATCCATCCACCCTTCCCACAAACTCTCAGCACCTTCTCAGTGCTGTGTTAGGGATGATCGTAGGAAGAGTTTAAAGGACATGCTCCCAGGCCTCACACTCCTCACGCTGTGGTGAAGTATACAGTCCTCTGAAAAACAGGATGCATCTTTGCAGGGGACGAGCAGTATGAGCAGATGGTGGCAGAGGGGCACTCGGTAAGTCTGCCCGAGTCCCTGCACCAGTGGCTCTGCAGTGGTGGGCGCCCAGAAGTCGGCCCTGCTTCCTGTGGAGATCCCTTCCCTCTTGAGCATTACTCAGAGCCCTGCAATGTCTGCCTCCCTGCGCCCGTCCTCCTTGTCCTCCTGGAGCGCAGCACAAAGGTCCTGTTGTGGGCCAGCAGCCCAGGCAGCAGGCGAGCCTCTGGGTGACTCACTATCTTGCCATTTCCTTTGTGTGGCCCGCAGGATCCTTGCTGGAAGCCACTGTGTGGCTGCCCTGCTGGGGATGGGGGTGCTGGCATTGCTCTCCAGCATCACCCCTCCAGGAAGGGGGGAAGGGGATGGCTCTGGGACTTGCAAGTCTTTTTATGTAGCAAGGGTCTTCTGCACGCAACGCCGCATAAGGAAGGTGTCTGGCGCAGGCAGGAACAGCAGGATGTTTGTAGCCTGGGCAGGAATCAAAGCGCCTGCGGTGGGGGAGGCATGTGGTCCCCATCAGGCAGTCCTCTGCTTCTGGTGCCCTAAGCACATGAAAAGTGAAAATTAACCACGGAAGGGAAGGGCTGGATGGCTTGCGAAGCAACGTGGACTCCCGGCCTCCTGGGGGATCTTTGGTCCCTGCTCAGATGCCCTGTCAGCTGCTACAGAACCCATCTGAGCTTGAGACAGTTCCCAGGCCTGGCTCAGGCCTGGGACTCCTTGCAATCTGCTCCCTGGCAAGGCTCTGGCTAGTTTGTGGGGCACCTTGGCCAGGGGCACCTAATGACCAGTGAGGGAGCAAAAGAGCCGAGGAGCCTAGACATGAGTTCTCCCACAGGTTAACTGCATCACCTCCAGTAAGTTTTAACAGTGGAATTTCAGGCATCTTTTGCAGTAGGTTTTAAGGCATAGCTCCTAAGACTCTTCCTGGTCCCGCTCCTGTTCTGGTTTTAGCTCTACTCACCCACCCTTTCAGCTTTCCACTCCAGCCACTGTGGACAACTTGTTCTTTCCTGCACACACCGTGTTCTCACTCACCTTCAGGTTTTGCACAAACTGTTTGTTCTTGCATCCTCAGGGGTGTGTAGTCAGTCCTTTCCTTCAAGACTGAGCTCAGGTGCCACCTCCCACAGGAAGCTTCCCCCTGGAGTCGGGGATAGGTATCCCTCTTCGGCTGTCCTCTGAGAGCCTTTGCAGAGACCTGTGAGAGCACTTACCACCCTGGCTCTGATTCCTGCCGGCTTATGTGAAGGAGGGCACTGAACCAGTGATTGAATGAGTGAATGAGTGAGTGAATGTATGGATGAAGGGCTTGGGAAAGGAAATTGCTTCACACACCAGTGGCCTGTGGGTGGGTACTAAGACACACCCTACCGGAAGCCTAAGAAAATGGCTCTAATTCTGTCTTTCCTTTTACAATTTTAAGACATCTCCTGTGAAATGGCAGGTACTATTGTGAGGTTATTGCCCTGGACTGAGGAGGCACCCACACAAACAAGAGTGGGTGCATTTGTCATCAGCTTACAGGGTCAAAGCCAGCTCACAGTTTGTAAACAGACCATTGAAGCATAAACATGCACGGACAAAATGATGGGCCAGTCAGCAGTCTGTCTCTGAGAACAATGCAGTAGGCATCGAGAATAATCCCCACATACTCCTACGGTTCTGTAGGATGTGCAAAGCTTTCACCATCTCTGGTCTTATTGGATTTGAGTGGGCAGGGTGGAGATAATTCCTGCGCCTGTTTTTGAGATGAGCATACTACACTTAAGGGAAATAGAGTCTTGCTTAAAAAGTGAGAAGAAAAAAAGCAAGTTTTCTGGGAAGCGACCCTCAGAGGCTAGTGGGTGTCAGGTGTCCTGAAGATGAAAAAGATGTGGTTCTTGTCACCAGGGAGATCCAGGGTTGTCAGGGAGATCCACGTGACAAATGCGACCTTCATGATAGCAACAAGGGGATACTGGGGTTCTGAGGAGGGAGAGGTTTTTTTCTGGATGTAAGTCAGGGAGGGCATTGTAGAAGAGGAGACTTTTAATAGCATCTCAGAGGGTAGGTAGAGTCTCCTGAGACAAAGAGAAGAAAGGGAGGAGAATACAGTGAGAGGGGGCCGTGAGAGGGAAGCAGGCCACCGCAGGTTTCCTCTCTTTGGCCAGAAAGTCTTAGTCTGTCACTGTTTAATCCAATAAGGACAACAAGGGCAGACACAGTGGTTAGTTAATGTGAAGGTCCCAGTAGTTTCTGCAAAGCGTCCTTCTCTGGGCCTCCCCAAATCTCGGCAGCAGTGAGCTGATGCTCGTGTTCTTTAGGCAGCTCTCCCAGAGGAAGTGTGAATTTGGGAATCATCACAATTAAATAGGAAACTGGGGTAGTAGTTGGAGAGGAGTGAAAGGGGGTCAATGGAGGATTACGTTAAGATAAGAGAAACACTACAGTGTGTCCTAGGCTGAAAGGAATGATCCAGAAGAAAGGCAAAACAGTGCCCAAGCATCATCAACCTGAACATCAGCCTGAATCTGCTCTAACTGACACGCAGTTCCGTCTCACAGGGTCCTCTTCATGACTTAGTGGGTAGGTACCTGGATCCTTGGGTCAACACCCTTCATCTCTACCCTTTTCTTTTTCCCCCGGTTCCTCATCTGGTCAGCCCCAGTGTCACCTCTGCTGGTTACAGGGAGAGCAAACCAGAAATATCCATCTAGTTCGGACTGCCTGCTCCATCCATGTATCTCTTGGAAAGGAAACACAAATACAAGTAGAAGGTTCTGAGGGAGACTGAGCCAACCTACAAGTAGCACTTAGCTCCCAGAGACCTCAGAGACCCATGTTGGGCAGCATTCAAGTAGGAAACAGCCAACACTTTGACTTATAAATCCACATTGTAGATCCCTGTAGTGGTTTCTGTATCCTTTACTGCTCTTTGTAGATGTTGTTGTTTAGCTTCATTTAGGGATGATGATCCAACCTATCGCCAGTTACTGGAAAGCAATGCAATCCTCCCCCGAACTCCTTTCGTGCTGAAAGGGTGGCCCCTGGGTACCATGTACTTCTGATCCTCATCAGCTGACTCAGCCAGGCATGGACGCACGACATTGGGCTTCAGTGTGGTCCAAGCCAGTCAGCTTCTTTCTTGATGGGATTTGCCCATCAAAAGACATAGAGTCTTAAGTTAGGAGTATTCTCAAGCTGAAAGGTCCTGAGACATCAAGACAGGAGGAGCCAGGACTATGTATAACAAAGTAGGAGCCACAGGCAAGTCTAAATTATGAACACATGAAAAAGAGTCTTGTGGAAAGGTCCAGTTTGCCAAGAGCAGAAAGAGTTAGAGACGACATATGCTTTTTTCAAAAAATATATTTTATAGATTATGCTATTACAATTGTCCCATTTTCCCCCCTTTATTCCCCTCTGCCCTGTACCCCCCTCCCACCAGCATCCCCTGCCTTTAGTTCATGTCCATGGTCGTGCATATAAGTTCTTTGGCTTCTACATTTCCTATACTATTCTTAACCTTTCCCTGTCTATTTTCTACCTACCATTTATACTTCTTATTCCATGTACCTTTTTCCCCTCTCTCCTCCCACCCCTGATGACCCTCCATGTGATCTCCATTTCTGTGATTCTGTTCCTATTCTAGTTGTTTGCTTAGTTTGTTTTTGTTTTTTTAGGTTCAGTTGTTAACAGCTGTGAGTTTGTTGTCATTTTACTGTTCATATTTTTCATCTTCTTTTTCTTAGGTAAGTCCCTTTAACATTTCATATAATAAGGGCTGGGTGACAATGAACTCCTTGAACTTGACCTTATCTGGGAAGCACTTTATCTGCTTTTCCATTCTAAATGATAGCTTTGCTGGATAGAGTAATCTTGGGTGTAGGTCCTTGCCTTTCATGACTTCAAATACTTCTTTCCAGCCTCTTCTTAGACAAGAGATTCTATAGCCACTGAAGGACACAGAGAAGAGACTTTTCTGTTCCCTTGTGACACATCAGTTCTCACTTCTTGTCCTTGGAGGTCAATGGCAGTCTCATGTATCTTTTCAGCAGGTCCTCTTTTCATTGAAACTATTTGAGAAAGCACCTGATCTTCGTTAACATACCTTACATAAAAAAAACATCAAAACCAAAGATATAATGTATATGAATTAATCCTTGGAATTCCTTGGTCTAATTCAATAACCATTCCATGAACAACTTTTTTATGCCAGGTGCCGGGGGGTATTCTGAGAAAACCTGAGACCCCCTATCTATCCTCCGAGAGTTCCTAGCTTGGTAAGCTGTGTTCCCGCATACCTAGAACACAAGGTAGTGTAAATGTGAGCATCCTATGAGAAGTGCAGGTGGAAGGCTGAAGGGGCGGACTACAGCTGGGAAGGCAGGAGATGTTTGATGGAAGAGGGCCTTCAAGGAGGGGTGGGCTTTAGTATTGGAAAGAGGAAAGAGGCATGGAATGCACGAGAATCAGAAGTCTGGTGGCAGGAAGGAGCATGAAATTCATGGGACATGGAAAACTGCATGGCTTGAGAGAATTATGTGTTAGGGGGAATAGTGCTAGATGCATCTATAAGAGAGTTTGACTGTGATTATGAGGGGCCCTGAATGCCAAGTCAAATTTATTATTACAGAAGCATAATAACGGGAAGAACCTTAGATGCTATCTAGTCTAACTCAAGTAACTTGGTCTCTAGCCCTCTTAAGGTGGCCACAGTGACTGAGCACATCCCAAGCCCTCATTTGCGATATTATCATTTCAATGGTAATGACTCAGAAACTACTCTACTCCCTTCAACAACTTCCAGTTCTTTCCACAAGGGCCCTCTCACTACCAGGAAGAGTCTTAGAACACAGGGAATAGGCCTAGGAATTTTGTAGCACATCATCTAAAACAGAAGTTTGTGAAGTGAAGGATCTGGACGGAGACATTCACTATTTGCCAGCATCAGGCAAGGTGTTCGGGGGCTCCATAACACCTAACCTGCCAGTCCCCTTTCAGAAGAGAAAACTGAAGCTCTAGGCAGGAACAGGAAAGTTCTCCAGGTCAGCCAAGGAAGATGTGAAGCAGGAATGTGTGCTTCCATGCCCCTTCTCTGTTTCCTGGAAGGCTAGACAGGCCACTAAATGTCACTCACAAAGGAATTTCAAAATGACATACCCTTAAATTAATGGCCGAGGCTGGTAGTGGGTGGGTAGAAGGAGCAGATTATAACAACAAAAGCTCCACTGCAGGAATTTAGCAAGCTCTGAACCACACAGACCAGAAGTCTACAGAAACATTTGACAAAATGTTTAGTTCTTGTTCAAGAATCTCAGGACTCAATTTATAATAAGCCTTGAACAAGTCCCCAGTTCAAAAGCCTTTTTACAAAGGCTTGGAATATGGACTCCTCTTGAGACCACACAGTGCTTCTGGCTTCCAGACACAGTAGGTGCTTATCACTCTCACAGGCAATGTCATCAACTAATGCACAAGGGGAAACAGAGGCAGAAACATCTATGATGCGGGACAGGGGGGAGTGGAGCAACATGAGATCCTCTCTGGGGTTCTGTCTCGCTGGAACACTTCTGGAGACGGTGTGCCGTTCCTATCTCCTGAAGCTGGCAGCTTGGGATATCAGGAGCCTTAGATGGGGAAGCTGGGAGGGAGGCAGAGGAGAGTGGTGGAGGTGAGAGAAAAGGTCTAGGGGTAAGAAAGCCCAGGATAGACTGGAGGTAGATAGAAGGGCAAGCAAACAGCCAGATGAAAGAGTGGCCGAGAGCTGTGAGAAGGTTGGACCCAGCCTGTGTCTAAGCAGAAGGGCCAGAGCATGTAACACAGGTTGCCAAACTTAAGGGTCCATCAGAATCACATGGGAGGCTAGTTAAATTCCCAGTTTCTGGGGGAATCTCCAGGGACTCTGAGTCTGGGATGTGGCCAGAAGTAGCATTGTGACCAGTCCCCCAGGTGGTCTTACACAGGCAGTCCTTAGGAAAAACTGGCGACAAGATTTTCCTCTGTGGACGTCCGTGACCTGCTCTGCAAATTGACAGGTTTGTCAAAGACAATTACTACTGTCCCTGTCAACTCCAACCCTGGGCTTCTCAAAGGCTTCCGCATCATCTCTGCCCAAGCTCGCTGGCCTTGTAATCTCTCTTGACATAGCTATTTCCTGAGCCTTTTAATTTATAAGAGAGGCAGGTTGTCAGCTACCTGCTCAGCTCTTGAAAGGGCCTTGCAGATAATAGATTCTAGCAACTCCATCTGGTCTGCGCGTTTGGATAAGAACAAGGTGGCTTCGTGT